CCCTCCCCCGTCTTCTGTGGAAGAATTTCTTCAATGTTGTCCCAGTCTGGTAATACTTCCTTCTCCCAGGGCCACCCTACTTCCATTGCATCACTCTAGTAGTCAGTCATGTGGTTTGAGCATCCTGAATCAATGATCTAGTCATTCTCGTAATCAATATAATCTTTCATCATCACCATAAGTGCTAGCACGTCTTCTTCTATGGTGCATAGTGACACAATCGCGCTTTCGAAGGCAGCGGACTAGCGATTGTGCGGCACTCACTTTCCAGCGACAAGTGAGTTAAGCCAATTTGTTCTTGCGTCGCCTACGGCCAAGCGACGTACGGTCGAGCCTCTAGCCTTGGTTTTAAAAGAAGGTTTTAGAAAACGAGGAGAGAGAGAGATTTTAGAAAGAGAGATTTTAGAAAGAGACGTTATATAAGCAAGCAAGAGAAAGATAACAACGGCTTAGCATATATAACCTTGGGTAGGGAGAAGTTGACAACTAGTCATATCCCCCTATAGTACATTCTGGGCTATTTTAGTTCTGGCAGGCCTAGACATGATATTTTTGAGGTGTCATACGCTCTAGAATTACAAAAGAAAAAACACTAGAATGAAAAGACATGACAAGGGTTTGGCTTGTCATGGGCATGCGGCCATGGGCAACATGCCCTGGACAAGCATGACCGTGACATCCTCCCCCACCTAATTGGTTGACGTCCCTGTCAACCGACTACTTTCATACCTTGCGATGTGGGTGGCGGCGGAGTTCAGATCTTCGGCGCGTTCTCAGCTTGTTTCCTCTGTAGGGAGATTCTTCCATTTGACAAGGAATTCACGAATCGTCCGTACAGGTCTTCCTATCTTCCTAACCCTGTCGGCTAGGATCTCTTCCACTTCCTTTGTTTCTTTTTGCTTCAGATCGATGTTCGGTCTTGTGGTTGAATTTCGTTGGTCGTCGTCTGGATCAGGGTGATAGGGCTTCAAGTTGCTCACATGAATGACGGGGTGGATTTTCATCCATGCGGGTAGTGCAACTCGGTAGGAGGTAACCCCGATCTTTTTAAGGACTTCAACCGGGCTTTCATATTTACGAACTAGTCTCTGGTCCTTTCGGCTACGAAATCTGATCTGTTCTGGTCTCAGCTTGATAAGGACTTGATCTCCTGCACGGAAATGAAGGGGGCGACGCTTCTTGTCCGCCCATTTCTTCATATGCTTGGAAGCCTTCTCTAAATATGCCCGGGCTATATCTGTCGTCTGCTTCCATTCCCTTGTAAAGTTGTGAGCTTGAGGGTTTTTTCCTGCATAAGAATGATCAATAATATGGGGTAAGGCCGGTTGTCGTCCACTTACAATTTCGAAGGGACTCTTCCCTGTAGATGAGCTGGTTTGACAATTGAAGCAAAATTGGGCGACATCTAACAATTGTATCCAGTTCTTTTGGCGAGCGTCGACGAAGTGACGTAAGTATTCTTCG